CCTTGAGTCCTTTGATTATTATCCACTGGTTGTTTTTGCCTTGCCAAATAATCTTATTACTTACTGTCCATCCATGCTTTACCTGTTTTTCTGTGTAAGAGAATTATACTTCCAGGAGTGGGGAATTAGAAACATGTAAATTTACCTTTTTGGATGAAGATGTGGGTATTAATTTTCTCAGATTCCAAAACTCAGGGATTAATTTTGTCTCTTGAGCAAAAGGATGTGATTCTCTTTTCATAAGCTGTTCATAAGAATTTTTGGCTTTGATAATCAAATCCATGCTTAACTACCCTGACAGTTTGCCTGGAATTCCTCAGTCTGCCAAAAAAATGTCAAATAGCACTGAGTGGTGAGGGGCTCTGAGATCCATCAGCTCATTCCTCTTCTGAACCTGAAGGCAATACTGAGAGAATTGACTCTTCATTTGGTATTGTTTGCTGTGTAATGGCATCTATGGTGCTCTGAAAATAGAACTTTTGCCTTCAGTAGATACAAAGGGAGCCATAAGTCTGCTTTTGCAGATTATTACTCTGATCTAGAATCTTGAGATGTTTTAGCAAGCACGGGTTGTTCTTTACCTTTCAGCACAGGTATCTGAACTGGTGTTCATGTGAATGTTTATTTGAATTGTATTTCACCTGGCACAGTTACTGCTATTCATCCAAAGGTTCTTTTCATCTTTTGTGAACCAAATGGACATTTAGTACAAGTACCAAAGATAATATCAGATACACAGCTGACATGAATCACTCTACGGAGCTGCTCAATTACTTCTGTCAAAGTTCAGGTCTTAAACTTGTCGGCAGCTTCCTTCTGCTCTATGTTAGTCACTATATAAAATAATCTATTTCCTGCTGCTGTTCCATAGAGGATCATGCAACAAACATAATCCCCTCTGAAGCAACAAATCACAAAATCTTCTTCACCATGGTGTGGAGTCTTCATTTGTTGGTGTTTAGATGTCAAAATGGCACAGAGATTTTTTGACTGATGTGCTCTTCTGTATGCTGAGAAAGGGTTTAGATAAGCCTTCTAACCTGGTTACATTTATCTAGGAGTTTCTGTTAACAAAGGCTTCTGAAAGGAGAATGTAGTAGAAGGAACCACTGTAAAAAATATTCATTTTTGTGGGTAAATGCAAACTTGTGGTCAGTCTCTGATACCACTTTAAGGCAAAGTATATTTTTTTTCACCCATAAAGAATTTAGGTCAGTGTTATCTCATAGGAGTGCCTATGTATAGCTTTGAATCCTTCTCATGCATAAACAGATATGTGCATAGAGTATGAGGGGCAAAAGCAGAGTTCCAACTTGTCCTGCAAATTCTCTCCATCCATGCCTGGGGAAGAAAAAGGACCCCTCAAAGATACTCCTTCTCCCAGCTGCTCCCTAATCAGGCAAACCAGCCATAAACACTTTAATTATAATTAGTTTTCAGTTAATAAGGTTTTGCTTTCTCCAAATTGTTCAGAGTATCTCTAAAAAAAACTTAATAGACAAGGAGGTTTTTATTTTAATTTAGTGTTTGCTATTAGTAACCAGAGCTTCACATCCAATTGCTCTATCTTTCCTTTAAGTGACACTTGTAAGATTCATATTTAAACATTGCTTACACAAGTCACAAGCACACTGTAATGATAGCTCTTTATCTCAAAATGATACCTTAGGACCCTCAACAGTTGTCGGTGAAGTTTAAAGATACATATAAACTGGAAAGAAGCATCAAAGACACTTGATAGTTGTAAGTAGTTATAATTAATGCTATAACTGCAGCATTCAGGGCATATTGGACCTGGATATGTGTCCTTCTTTCTTTGGCTTCTGAAGAACTCTGTATTGCTCTGATTTCCTTCATGAGTAGCTATTTTAAATGTAGCTGCAACTTTTTGATGCTGTTTCATTGACAGCAGTAGCTGCACCACAGAAATACATTCAAGGGGTCCACAGTGACTCCTTCACAACACTGAGGAGATGAGCAGCTCATGACAAATATTGCTCCTCCTCTGAAGAGCCAGAAGGTCACTTCTAGTAGAGTCAATATATTTAATAGAAATAGATCATCTTTATACCAGCTCCTACCACAGAGACCCTAGGTGCTTTATATTAGATGTTTGATCTTCATAAGGGGGCTTTTAGTACACTGTAAGAAGTACTGCTCTTACTGCTTTCACTTTCCAATGGTAATTTCAGCTATTTGGTGTCACAGAGCTGAAAGGGACTTATTTTAGGTCCAACTGCAATCTGCTTGGTGCTGTGGCTGATGTGGTGATGGTACTTCATACTCTCTCCTTGAATGTTCCAGCTACACTGATGTTGACTGGAGTTCTGTCCATATTCTGAGCATATTCTTTGCTCCAGCTTGATGAGCTAACTGTATCCAGGATCCTAGAAGAGCAATTCATGTAAAAAATTAATGTAAATTAATGTAATAATTATCTTCATCCCAGCTGGACTCAAAACTGGGTGAAAAGAATGATATATCTACTCTTTACTAAGGACTGTGGACTTGCTCTGAGTGTGCATTGTTATTTTGTGGACAAAAGTGCCCACAGATTTTCAACAACAACAACAGATGGTCCTAGGGGCACTAGCCACTTGAGGGTGTTTACAACAGGTAATTGTATGTTGAACAAAGCACAAGAATTTGCTGCTTCCCTTTAATTGCTCATGTCTCTTCTTTATCCAACTCCAAATCATGGCAGCAGGTCAAAAGAGGCACAGGTTCTCAGGGTTTTGTGTGAAGAGTGTTCTGCTACTTGAATGTTTCTTTTCTTTTGTTTTGTCCTTTATTTTCTCCATCAAACCAGCTTGGGAAAGATTTCCATTTCAGTCTTTTCTGCTCTGCCCTTGTGAGTGTTCTGAGCTCTCCTTTCCTCTTGATAGAGGGGGAACTGTTGAAGTGTGATAATGTTTATAAGGAAGACATAAATGGAGGTTTTACTTCCTCCATTTATGTCAGTGGCTATGATCTAGAAGATTTAAGTATGTTTCCTGGGAATATAAAGTAAGTCTACTAAATGGAAGTAAATTTTTTGATACCTCGGACTGTGCTTTTCAGGCTTAATTACATATATTTATTTGAGATGTCTGTTACTGTGTGCTCTAGGAGTCCACATAATTCTTTCACAGTCTGTCACCTCTGTGTGATCTGCCTAAGTTCTGCCAGGAATGTTGACCTTGTGCTCTCTTTGTGCATCTATGTCTGCCTAGATCCATGATGACCCTTTGCTTTCACATGAAGAGAAATAGAGTGATAAAGACATGTATGACATTTTCATCCTACTTAAAAATGTCCACAAATAACAATAATTATTTATTTATTTAATAAATAAATTATAAGCATTTTTTTCCTAAGATGGAGCAAGGCTAGAAAACTGCATGGTGTGTTCCATGGCCATATTTTTTGAACAGCATTGCTTTTGGATTTCTTTCTAATTATTAAGATGTTAGGAATAGCAAATCCCAAAGGTCTCTTTCCACAGTCATGGAAGCAATGCTTTTCTCTCTCCCTTTCCTTCCCTACATAATTACAACAAACTGATCATGGATCTATTAATGTATTTGCATCTTGATTGAATATGTTGAATGCTTGTTTCACATTTACTGAGTAGTCTAGTCACTGTAAATTCAACTAAGTCAGAAACAAATGAACTAATACATCTATCTAGAAAACAAACCCACAAGTCCAAATGAACACTCCAAGCAGTATCCTTGACAACTGGCTGAATATTCAGATGTTTAATTCAGTCCCTTTCTACTTGTTTGTGGTAGGCACCAGGAACAGAGTACCTTCTGCTTTATGGATTCCTATCCAGCACCAAATATGCTTCTCTGCTTCAGACAAAACCATGTCTGAGCATCTTGTCAGCCCATTAATTCTTAATACAACCTTCATTGGATGGCAAAATGATATTTCTGAACACTCTCTGGAAATTATTTTACAAAAAATCTAGCCCAAAGTATCAAAATGGTTAATATCTTTATAGCTAGAGCTCTCAGAGGAAGCTTATATCTGAACATAAAACCTTATGTTTTCAGATATCTTGCTATAACAATAATATTAGGAGGAAAAAAACGTTTGCTGTATCCTTTCCATACATTTTTAGAATTTATGAAAAAACAAAGTACCCTTGGGGTTATCCAGTAGAAAGAGTGGAAGCTATGGGGACTGTTTGCAATAGTGTGTCTGCACTACTTTAAAAGTGTCTAACGAAGCCTCAGAACAGCTTGCTCAGGTAGTGGAATCCATCTATTACAGGCTCAAAGACAGAGGAGTCCAGATTCCCGCAGGAAAGGAATGGTTTGGCACAGTGTGCTGCAGTTCCATTGTTCCAGGTGCCCAGAGAGCTCCCTGGGGAGGGAGTCACACAGCATGGCCCTGTGGCTGCATGGCAGGGCTGTGTGGCTAAGGCTGAGTGCAGGAGGCACTTCACTTCCTCCTCCAGCACAGCTTTGGCAGGGCTAAAGCCTCAGATACCACACTAATGTACAGTTCTGCTGCTTCAGGACCCAACCCAAACTGGTGTGAAGAGTTTCTGAGACATCCAGTCCTGCTGGAGCAGAACTGGCTCCATTTGTGGCACAGCCAGCCTGAGCAGGTACCTCACTTGTGTGGCTGCTCTTGGAGGCAAGTCAAGGCTCACAACTTACATTCAACTCTATACTGTCAGCCCAGATGTTACTTGGGGACTGGATGTAGCATTTTTTCCCCCTGCTTTTCTCTTATTTTTCCATGAGGTTTTAATTTTAAATTAGTGAGAGAAAGAAACTCAGACAGTATGGGTAAAGCAGTACCTCCTATTTATAGCCTGTGCTTGGAGGTCACTTTTCACCTCTGTTTTGAAGAAGTCAGCCTTTCCCTGTTTCCTTCTAGAACTCAGGTGTACCAGATGATGGACAATTGCATCTGGAGGGGAGGTCCCTGGCTGGCCATTAAGGCATTCACCACACAGGCTATATTGGGGAAGTTCTCCATAGAAAACTTAGGAAAGAATTTTCAGAGACACCAGAAGTATGTGAAGTATGTGAAGTATGTGTAGCTGTGTATTGAAAAGAAACTTTACCTTGTTAAGGTAATCTTAAATCATTAAGATATTTCCTAGAGTAATTACTTGTGCATATTCTGCTAAACATTGGGAAAAATTATTTTCACTTTGTCCTGGTTTCCTTTTCTGTTTTTCTTTTACTTTCCATCCTCCCTCACTGCCTCACTGTTTTTTTGGGGTTTTTTTTTAATTATTTTTTTATTTTTTTAGTGCACTAAAATAGCTCATACATTGTTTTGGAACTTGTAGTACTTCTTTTATGCAGCTACTTGATTTTAAAAAGGGAAGCTTGACAGGCTCAGCCTTCGAGGAGCTGGAAAATAAGGACTTTTGCAGTGCAGCATGCAAAAAAGATCCAGACCCAGCCTCGTTAAGAAAAACATCTAAACATTTATGTGATTACCAGGAACAACGTATTCTCCTGCACCCATGTGCTTCTGGACCCATTCCAAGGTATTAATAGCAGTAGCGGCAGGGCTGTACATTATATTGTTATTTCCTCCTTGGAGAGAACAGAATGTTAGACTGTGAGAATATGACATGGAAACTATGTGAGTTGGCTGCCCTCTTCTACTTTATTTACTCCTTCTTAGATCCTTCTGACTTTGGGGCTTTTGCAGTCACTTTAAAAGAGATTCACTTTTTGCCCAGGAAGAAGATTACTGGAACTGCCCCTCTGGATCAGATGATGGATATTAACCCTGGTTTCTGTCTCTATCTGTTGGAAACAGAACAGACCTGAGTAGTCAATAATGTGTCAGATAAAACCAAGATCTCAAATTTACTTCCCTCTTGAACTACAACAGTGATCAATACATGTCAATAGGTAAAGTATCTATAAGCTTCATTGTTTTTCATCTTATTTTTACAGAAATCAACATTACACCTTCCGATAAATGTCCTTTCATTGTTATAGTTTTTCTCACTGAGCTATTCAATGACATTTTTTCTTCCATGAGATTGATCTAGGACTCAGCTAAGAGCAGACCAAGTACTGCAAAGAGGCAGGCCTAAGAAGCTAGGCAGAAAATAGCAATTTAGTTTTTTTATTATTGTTAGAGCAAGGACTGTACACTTTCTGAAAATCTGCCATTCTGCTGCTAAATGGAAACCCAAATGTCTCTTGAGTTGCCTTAATCTGAATGGGGTCTAGCTACATTTTCCAAAAATAGGTTTTTAAATTTGTGATTTTCCCAGCACCCCAATGAGGAGGTAATGCTCCTGCAAGTTGCAATTTCCTCTTTTCTACACCTTCTTTGCTTTCCCATGTTTTCCTGCCCTTTGCACCGTGCTGGCTCTGGTACCAAACCAACCATCTGCATGGTGTCTTGGAAAGGCAGATCAGGGAATTGATCCAGTATGAAACTAGCTGTTATAAGAGCTCAAGACTGTTTCCTGCTGCTTTTCACCACTCAGCCACAGCAGTTTGCACTGGTTGGGTGCATAGATGAAGGCTAGGAGGATGATAGAACTGCATTTACCTGCAGCACTATTTCTTTATGCTGTTTAAAGCAATTTGTAAGTATGGGCTTGGACATTGTCAAGACTGCATTTATTGGCAGAACTTTTCTTTTCTGGAGAAGAAAGATTTTACCAGTTAACGCCCCTAGCCCCTCCAGGTTCAGGTAAAACATCCAAGTATCTCAGGACAGAGAAGTTTAGGATGTGTAAGCTCTCTGTGAATGGCAGCCAGTGTAAGTTTAGAGGCAATGAGAAAGGGTTAAAGGACATTGACAAATTGTAGAGGTATGGTAATAGCTGATAAATTTATTTCTACCCCAAAGAAAAGGATTGCTTCTCTTGTTCTCCAGATTACAAGAGGAATCTGAAGATTAAGACAATAAATGTTAAATGTTGAAATAACATTGCATTTCCGGGGACATGCATTCAGTAATCCACAGAGTATCTTTCAGTTTTCCATGCAATATTATCTGTGACAACACAATAATGCTTTGAAGGACAGATGCTGTCTCACCATAAATTAGCAATGAGGTGGCAGGAAAGATGCAAACTTTTGATTTTCATTTCTCTCTGATATAGAAAGGGAGGAATCAGCAGCTCCTATTCTCTGAATATTGTGTGGCTTTTTCACCATGGGACAGATGGTACAAGATAAGTCAACCCACACCATTTAACAGAAGTTGTTTCCCATAGAATGATTTTGCTATGGATAGAACCAAATTGTATACCCCACCAGCAGAAAAATTTCATGCAGTTGTGTTTACACAGCTTATTGGAGGCAGTGTTTGGCATAACGTAACCTCTCACCTGTCATCACCTTTGTAGATTTAAAAGCCTAGAAAAAATTGTCTATGTTAGTCTAACTGGCTCTAAAAACTATATTTTGATTGAGAAACTGAAGATGCTAGGTTTTTTTTTTTTCATAGCAGAAAGTACTACAAATGCAAAACTTTTGCTTTCTGAAAGCAACCAATATTTTCATATTAGTGTTTCATTTCCTCGTGGGGTGAAATCACCTTGAGAGTCCTGCTCATTATTTATGTGATAAAACAGTGCTCCTGTGTTCCCATTAAGATTGTCCTGTTAGAAACACATTACTCGTCCTCTTGAAAGAAAAAAAGCTTGAAGGCAATTGGATCTGAACTCTCTGATACAGTTTCTCTTTGGGATCTTGCTTCAGGTTTCTTTGCAAAAGCTGGTCCAAGACCAGAAGTTGAGTTCTGCACTGCTGCTGAAGCAATTCAGGTGCCTGGTACTACAGGGCAGTTTTGAAAATAGCAACAGAGGTGCAGGTTTGACACTGTATGAGGTCTGTCTCTGAGTGTCAGGAACTATAGAGCTGATATGCAGACCCTTGCCAATGCAGCAGAGAAAGGACTCCCTGGCTCTGATGCTTTCCAAAATTTGCTGATGAAGGTGCCCATTGAGTGGATCAACCTCAAAAAGCCAGACTTTCTTGGCAGATATTAAAGGAGCTTAATTGCCTCGTAAACCAAACATCCAGTCATGAAGATGATTTGTGAAATGATGATACAAGGTTTAGTCTTGTGCATGACATTGTGCAATGAGGCTTATTGCCTTTTTTACTTTCTGACACTGCTCACAGTGCCTGAAAGCAAGGAAAATAAGGTGTCATATATACAGGACTGTAAAGCCACTTAATGAAGTGTATGTATTTTCAGTTTGTTTTGGAGGCTTTTTATTTGTATTTTAAGTGAAGTAATGTACTCAAAATACATTTTAAATATCTAATTGTAATGGTACCTTCCAAGATTTTGCTGTGTTACCTTCCAGCAAATAAAGACAAAGTGTCCTTGCACAGTGACCTCATCAGAAAGTTACTTTTAGAATAGCAGCTGCAGCAAGTGTTAATCTAGAGAATTGTCAAGGAAATAAGGGGGACTAACTCACTTTCCTGAAGTGTCATTTAGGATTATAGTAAACATTCTAAGAATGTGCAGACCCCAGCATTCAGAAGCTGTCACAGGAGTATGAGGAATCAGGGTTTGCATAACAACAGGAGGGGACATCCTTGCTATGTTTCCTCTTGTTCTCTTGTTCCCAGTCCTCCCTGTGACTGGAATGTGAATTCTAAACCACTGAACAGGGCAGCAAGCAAACCCGCAGAAGGCAGCTGGCAGGTGGGCAGCAAGTGGTCAAGAGAGCAGAACTCCAGTGCATTTAGTGCCTTAGCACCCAACATAGCTCTTCAGATATTTCAGAGCACGCACAGGCTGTGCAGGACACCATGGCTCAGATGTCCAGACACATGAGGAATGAGCATGCAGTCTTGTATCTGCACATCACTCTGCTTTCCTGAACACTCTGCTTTCTGACTACTTAAAGATCCGTTTAGTTGAGAGAAACATCACCTTACAAGGTGTTTCTTTTTCTTGCGTGCAAAAAGAATGTTCACTAAAGACTTTTCTGTGATGTTTTTGTGGCCAAAGTGACCTTCATCTGTACAGTTCATGCATGTGAATTCACCACATAACCTTGTTTGACCCTAGATGGTCTTTTTGAGGGAAAGGGGATACTGTCTGCCCAGTAACCATTCTGATGCTCTGCAGGATTAATTGTGTTTATAAAATAAAATTAAATATTGTGTCTGAGATTACATTTTTTTTTCTTTTAATTAAGAAGACTTTAGAACCAGCGAGATGGGAAGAGCCAAAAAAATATGAAGAAAATAATATCTAAAAAGCCTGGTGCATGCTAGAAAACCAGCAATCAAACAGGAACAATAATACAAAAATCAATAGGAAAAAGGACATATACTGAATCCAATTAACTTTGAATTGATTATAGAGAGGAAAACAAAACCAAGTTTTAATCCTCTCTCTAATATTTGATCTTGAGAACAGTGCACTTATTTAAAACATTCTCATAATCAGTTTCCTTTATACTGTGCTTTTTTCCTCTGAGAATACACTTTATGCCACATTTGTCATTTATGTCAGAACAAAATAAAAATAAAAACAAGAAGCTGGTATAATCAGTTTCAGTTTTGAGAACCAAAGTAACAAAAGCCCAATCAAAGAACTGAAAGGATAATTAGTAACAATGAATACAAAAATGGCAGCTTAAAACCTCTTTCAGATTTCATTTTCAGCAATATGTCAGAGCAGGGCTAAGGAAGCAGAGGCAATGAGAAAAAATGTTTCTTCTCAAAGTGGGGGATAAATTAAGACCAAAGCTAAGGGCCTGACCAATATTTTGGTTAAAATTCTTGAAGTTAGAGCCTAACACCAAGTAAGAAGTAGCATTTTTATTTATTCACCTAACTACAACTTTGCTACTGAACTTTTCCAAGTGATCCAATTGCTCTGACTGCTGTAAAACTTTTACATAAAGAAAAAGATACATATACAAACCTGCATTAGACAAGTGGGCAAAAAAGTAACAATAACACAGTGTTCAGGCCATTTTGGACTTTAAATTTCATAGGCAAGATAATTAAAAACAACTGATGACAGACAACAATTGACTAGAACAATGAAAGCATCTATTCTACCTTTGACTTGTTATGTTACTAGTCTTGAAGATTCATTAACTTTCCAGGCAAAATGAAGATGATGTTCAGTATTAAAATTAAATATCAGAAAATGGGTAAATTTAGGATGTGTAGTAGTACAAATCTCAGTGATATTTAGCAAAGAGATGGCTCTGGGAATGCTGCTCTTTTGTTTCTTATCAGCTGTGAAGTATCTAGTCACAAATTATTTCTATTAAGTTACTGGGCTGAGGTTAATCTCTTCTCACATCTAAAAGATGAAAGTTGCATATAATCTAAGATAGTTGTCCAATTTAATTCTGTTTGGAACAGAAAACATTGGATGTCTAAGGCATGTATCCAAGAAGGTAAAATAAATTGTCCTTTAAATGTGCTTGTTTCTTAGCCAGTGTAAAAAGCTTGAAGTGTTCATGTCCCTGTTAGACAGTTAAGTAAGAGGAATCACAGCTTGACATCCAAATCTACAAAGGCATCTGTTGGTGTCAGTGGTATTTCATTGAGAGAACTGGATTCAAAATGCTACAGTTCATAAACTCATCTTTGGACACTGTGATAAAACATGCAAATCCATGAGCATTTCTCTCAAGACACATTCCTGAAATATCCTCTCAGGTGTATTTCTTTTTTTTTCTCCATCCTCTCACTCAAATAAGGTTTCACCATTATAACATATGCATATAAAGGCAAAAATAAACAATGAACCTGTGTAGTCACAAGGGAAGGTGTGAGGAAATCACCTTCATTATGAAAAAAAATAGTAATTTTGGGCACCAGAAAGACATTCTTTCCTGTTAGAAGGCTGGACGTACAGAAAAGGAAACTGGAGTTGTAGCAGTGTGTAACATACTGGTGGTGTGTAACAGCAGGTCCTGCCCTACTCTGCACTGGTGTGGCCTTACCCTGAATATTGTGTGCAGTTTAGGGCTCGGGTCACTTGGTTTGTTCAGTCTGCAGGAGACAGAGGGGAGACCTCACTGTGGTCTTCTATAGCCTCATGAGAAATGTGGAGGACAGGTACCAGTCTCTTGACTCTCATGACCAGTGACAGGACTTGAGGAAATGGCATGAAGTGGAGTTAGGGGAGGTTTAGGTTGGATTTCAGCAAAAGGTGTTTTACCCAGAGGGTGGCTGGGCACTGGAACAGACTCCCTGGGGAAATGGCCACAGCACCAAGCCTGACAGAGTTCAAGAAGTGTTTGGAAAATGCTTTCAGGCACAGGATGTTATACCAGGTGTTGTCCTATGAAAGGCCAGGAGTTGTATGGTCTTTGTATGCCTTCCAACCGGGCATATTCTATGATTCCATGATTCCATGATTCTATGACATACCAGTGAAGACCTGCAGAGAGTAGATCTTACTGTCCCTGACTCAGTACATGACTTGCTGACCTCCAGCATCCTATTTTTTGCAACACTGTGAAAGATCTTCTTTGCATTTGAAAGAACTCTGAGCTTACATAGGACCCATATGACAAGGTCCAGCCATATTTTATAATTCTCTGTCAGTGCTGCAGAACAGAGACTGTCTTATTTCCATCTGCCAAGACTTGAGCAGGGCTGTGCATGAACTGAGGTGTTACTCAATGTATTTGGAAAACTTTAAACTGAAATATTGAAATGGAATTTAGCAAAATTTGAACAGCTGAGCAGGATCACAGCTTTAGCCTTGGGTGTCTGTGTGTTCTGTGCAAGTCCCAGTTTTGGTAAGTCCCTTTGGCTCTTCTGAAGTTGTGGGATGTAAAAGTGCCTGCCAGCTTCTGCATCCCTGAAACTGAATCTAGTCACATACCATCTGCCTTTCCTCCTCAGGCTGTGGTCTTCAGCCAAAGCATATTAAGACATACAAGAAGACAGTGACAGCAAGCTTCAACAAATCCCCTAAATGAATGGGAGGTTTGGGACTGGGTGAAGTAGGGTACCATCAAGGACATGCAGAGTAGAATAAGTGATCCTTCAGGCCATAAGAGTAGAGACAATATATTCATTGTTCCTGTGCAAGCAATCCAGTAGTGGATATTGAAAGAAGACTATTCTGCCCATCAGCATAGGCACAATCTCTCTGAATCTGGCACAGGCAGCTGCCCAAAATTAAATATGCAAGTAAGTAAAGCTTCTGAGGAGAAGAAATGTTTTCTAATCAATTTCTATTAGATAGAAAGATGTTATGGATAAGTAGGTGGTAAGCTTTTCTGCCAGTGAATTAATACATCTATGTCATGACCATCAATTGTTGTCAGAAATGTGTGCGTGGTCTGGAAGACTTTTTACAAATTGACAGTGACTGGTCATGCTGAAAGCAGGTGTATCTATTTGAATCTATTCTGACCTTTGGTTCATGGCATATGCTCATGTCATGTCACATTACCTCATCATATCACAAAAGCTAAATGTCATACAGTGTGGCATCTTAACCTAGGACAGCTCATCGGCCCCACTAGTGTCAGATTATGTATAATGTAACAAAAGCACAGTAAATACTGTGCCTGTATATTATTTTAGCAGTTAGCAGTCACATAAGAAGTTGAAAATAATATTCATGTAAATGATAAAATACAGCACACTTTCATTGAAGACTCTTTGGGGCTTATTTACTGTTATTCTCATTAATCATTTTGCTGTGTGTTAACAAATCTTTTGAACAATTCTCAGTGCTCAGAACTGCAAGCCCTTGGAAATCTGCTGCTTTGGAACCCCTGGATTTTAAACCACGTTTAAGGTGAAAGTTGCACGTGGCTAATAAACCTGTCCTTGTCTTCTGCTTGTGGGATTGCCCTTCTTATCATGCTTGTACTTTTGTCAGCCTATGACTCAAAGCCTAGTAACTTAATCAAGCTTGTGTTTATAAGGCTTATGTCATCTGAGTAGGAAACAGCAATCCCTTGTGACTTAGGGGACCAGTCACATGGTTCCAAAAAGGACTTACTGTGGAGCTTGACTGCCAGGACATAATTTGTTTAGATGAATGGCTGACAAACAAGTGTGAGTGATCCACAGGTTTGGATAAATTATCATCAGCCTATGGGAAGCTCATAAACTGGGAAACAAGTCAGGCAAAGGAGACATTCATGTTACAGACTGGCTAAGTAATGTCTCCAGGTCTACACAGTCCATCAAATGCTAGTGTGTCATAAGGTTACATGTGGTCAAACCAGTAAAGGTTTAATGCTCTAAGGACAGGTAGTTGCATGCAGCTGCAAAATGACACCTGGTGGCCTTTTGGGAGAGTGGCTGTCATGCTTTCTTGAGACAAGAGCTCAGGGGTGGCCAGGTGCAGTTGCTCTCAGAAGACTTTTGCTTCTGGGGACTGGTAAGTTGTGAAGATCTGAACATAGCAAGCTTCAAAGTAAATGCTTGTGGCTGTTCACCTAGCTGCCTGTGAGTACAGGCAAATTCCCTTATAATGCTCGTGATCTTGTCAGGCTTCATGACACAGCTGCCTTCCTTTCTGTCCTCCTCTCCCAGTCCATGCTGGGCTTGTAAGGAAGGAGGGAATGAGCATACAGAATTGTTCATGAAACAGGAAGAAAAGAAGGAACATCCAGAATTGTGCCCTTGCTGCCAGGCTGGGTGCTAGGATAGTTCCTTTTCTTGTTCCTTCTATGCTCACATCTTGCCTGCTGTCTCACACATGGAATCATAGACTCATGAAGGTTGGAAAATATCTCTGAGACCATAGAGTCCAATCTTTGACCAAACACAGCCTTGTACACTAAACTACAGCACTAAGTGCCACATGCAGTTTCTTAACACTCCCAGGGATGGTGACTCTAGCACTTCCCTGGGCAGCCTGTTGCTAGGTCTGACCACCTTGTGATGGGGTGATAGGGGCTTTGGAAACAGTGGGGAGCATTAGATTTGCAAACAGTTTACCTGCTTCAAAAGTCTGGGTGCCATGCAGCATTTGTCAGAATGGCACCAAAGAGAAATAGGAAATGAGAGATGGGATTCAACAAGGGAATGAGGATTTACGAGGTAGCAACCTTAAGAACCAGCTCCCTTAAATATCAGATCCTTCTGTGGGAAATGCTGAGCATTTATAGGCTCCTCAAAGAGCCCAAGAAACAAAAAGTATTTGTCAGCTTCCAAAGACTCCTTGGATATACTCAATTTCTTTCAAGACTACAATGCCCCCATCACGCCCTCCTTTTGCTTTCCTGTTCCTCATTCAGTTGAAATGTCTGATACTTACTAACTAAAACATTAACTGAGCCAAGCATTTTAATAGGCTAAATAATTATAACCCATGGTCATAATAAATGATATGGAGAGAGGGGCTTCAATTAAGAAATATTTTCCCTCCCCTGTATTGCACATGACCTTCAGTGTATAGGCCATATTTCTCATTCTGCCACCCTGGAGGAACTGCTTCCTTTTATATATTTTGAAAAAATTGTTAATGGTGCACTTGTAACCACATGGCTGCATTTGAACGAATCTCATTCCAGACTTTCCCTGGAGGGTTTAATTATTCTGGTTTGTGCAGAATTATGCCCAGCTTTAATTCTGTGTTTCTGGCTGCAGCTGCTGGTTCATTTGAGCATCCATTCTCCAAATCAAGTGCACAAAGAAGTGTGATAAACAATTCAAACGAACAGCTCAATGAACAACTGTAAATGGAACCTCTCAAACAACAATTATATGTACCTTTCTGCAGAACAGCAGATCATGATTCTGAACTATCCCTTCAATGTGGGAAGAAAACATGGCATCAGTTATTTTCATTATGCAAATTATTCAAGCATTTTAAATTTTGTCAGAGGTATTTAAAAAAATCAAAAATTGAAAAGGAGCTCCTTCCCTGATATCCTCCCATTAAAGGTCTGGGTCAAAGTCTGACACCTGCTACCTTTCTATAAATCTAGAGATGATACCTGGATTCCAGCAGAGCTGTTCAGGATTTTTACCAACTTCAATGATAGCTCATTTGGCCTTCTAAATATGTAATTGTTCTTAGCAGAAAAAAAATAAAAATCTATTAATCCTTCACAGCAGTCAGTGATTGTGGCATTTTAACAGTAACAGCCAGCATGATTGAGTGTTTTCAGTGCTTACTGACAGATGGTCATTGTGTTACAAAACAGCCTCCAATAAATAATGACCATATCCACATGAGAGGTGGAAAATAGTTCTCTATTGTCAATCCTTTTTTGCTGCACATAATGAAGTAGAAATGTTTCTTCAATTCCATTTTATTCTGATAATGAAAGTCAAAAACTTCAATTTAAATGAAAAGTGATAAGAATTTGAAAGCAGAAATGTTTCAAAATTTGTATTTGTTTGCTTGCCCACTTCTTTACATGTAATAAACTTTTTGGTCAATGTTATTCAATTCTTATATCATAGCATACATTTCCCTTCAGATGCCAGTGAAGCTTCTTATGAAAAATCACAAGTAAGCTCAAAGTGAAGATATTGTTTCATAGTTTCAAGATGACAGTTTTGAAACTTATTCCTCATAACATGCTGAGCATGAGTGCACAGTGCTCCATATGACTGGGAAAGAGGTTTCATTCTAAACACAATGCTTCAGAACATAATGTGTACTAACAGTTTATGTCAATCACAGAGCTGTGAATTTACTACCGTTGCTAATGATGCTACAGAAGTTATGACTCTTACACTGAAAAAGAATCTGAAGCAGCAAGTGTGTTCAATATGTACCTCAAACATATTAGTACATGACTTGTACAGTAGGAACAGAATAGTAGAAGTATGATTATTTCTTACTGGGCTGGAGGTGAGAGTCAAATGAGGGGTGCAAGTTGTCTTGCATCAGATTGTTGATGAACAAAAGGAGTATTTTTCACAAGCACTGAGACTGACTTACTGAACACATGCAGACTTAAATTTTTTGAGAATAAATTGATCAGTATCCTGATTTGCACTGCAAAAAGTCTCAATGATCCAACTGAGCTGAAGCAGAATGATGAAGCACAACTAGAAAAATCATTGCACAGCTATGTGTTTACATATTATCTGTTCAGGAGTTCTAAAAGTATCTAAACTGGTTTTTGTCTTGAAAAGAGCAGGTAAAAGCAGTGTGTCTTGTACAATCTACAGCAAAAACACTCATGACTTCCAAATCTTTATCTGTGCAGGACCTGATTGCTCACCTCTTCACTTTTGCACTTGACTACATGTTCGAGGTTTTAAACTGGATTATTTTACTGATTCTTACTTTGTAATCAGGGGAAAAAGTAAAATTTCCACAAGCATCTTGCCTACAAAAGTTTTCAGGGCACACTTTGCATAAATTCCACTACTATGGAGGTCAATGATCAGATTGAAATCAGAAACTTCTATGTGACTTCTATGTGACTTGCACCTTCCAAGTGCAAGTGCTCTTGGGTCATAACCTGTGGGTTTTATATCCCTCTATGTGTTTACATGTGTTTAAACTAGGAATTGTCTGAACTAGGTTCTGCAATTAGAAACAAGGAGCTGTGTTTTTATTAGAAGCCATAATGAGTTCTCAGAACTAGTCACTTGACCCTGACAAGGTGTGGGAAAGGTTTTCTATGGTGGTTCCCACTTGTTTCTGATAATGAAGTAGCCTCTTCCAGACCAACTAATCTCAGTAAAGGTGAGAGACATTCTCCTGTCTATTAAGTAACCATTTGTAACAACTAATCTCAGTAAAGGTGAGAGACATTCTCCTGTCTATTAAGTAACCATTTGTAAGTCAGAAGAACATTTATGAAAGCAGCAGCATGTCTTTTGTCTGCTGTATGTAGGACAACATTCGAGGCTTAAAATAAGTGAGCACTTTTACTACAACTTGTTGGCAGTTTGAAATCCTGTAGGGAAAATAAGTTCATGGCTTCATCACCTGCTAGAGAACTATTACAGCTCACCCATAGCTAGCAATCTCATTAGCCTTGAAAGCTAAATGATTACAGAGATTTACCTTATCATATTGGTGAGGTGGTACCTTAGAATCACACTGTGGTTTGGTGTGGAAGATCATCTAGCTCCAACCCCTCTGTCATGGGTAGGGACACCTTCCACTAGACAAGGGAGCACAAGTACTCTATCCAACTTAGCCTTGACTACTTCCAGGGATGAGGCATCCACAATATCTCTGGGAAAATTGTTCCAGTGTCTCAACAACCCTCACAGTAGGTATCTTCCTAATATCTAATTTAAACCTTCCGTCTATCAGTTTAAAGCCACTACCCCTTGTCCTGTCACTACAGCCTTTGTAAAAGTCCTTCTTCAGCTCTCTGGTAGCCCCCTTTAGGTACCAGAAGGTGCTGTAAGGTCACCTGGAGCCTTCTCTTCTCCAGGCTGAACAACCCCAGCTCTCAGCCTGTTGGCATAGCAGAGGAGCTCCAGCCTCTGACCATCTTCCTCTGGACTCATTCCAACAGCTCCATGTCCTTCCTGTGCTGGGGACCCCAGAGCTGGAAGCAGCACTGCAGGTGGAGACTCACAAGAGCAGAGTAGAGGGGGAGGAGCTCTTCCATCGATCTGCTGCCCACACTGCTTTGGATGCAGCCCAGAACAGAGCTGGCTTGCTGGGCTGTGGGTGCACATTGGGTCATATTAAACTTCTTGTCAACCAACATCCCCAAGTCCTTCTCCTCAGGGCTGCTCTCAGTCTTATCTTCATGTGCATTCATGTCAAGGCTGCAACAAAGCAAAATGGATCTTGTAATAGCAGTATCTGGATAAAAAGATGACTCCTGGCTCTTGGTAGTTTGAAGGCCTTTTCTCTTAGGTCTTTTGCCAGCCTAAAAAATTCTATGATTCT